TGTAGGGCCAATGGTGTTAGCATTCCCTCTACCTTCCCTGGTTCTGGACCCACCACCGCCCCGGCCAGTGCCACAAGCATCCTAGCAACCACCACGCAAACCACCATTTTCAGCACATTCGGTGCTACCAGTACAATGACCAGGCCCACCACCAGTCGTCCCACATCTATCCCAACTGGCGCAGTCGTTGGTAACCGCACCGCTAACACTACTAGGGCTACCAGTGCTCCTACGTTCATATCCGGTGGATCTGAGCGTCTCACCACCGCTCTCAGCGTCATCGGGTTGAGCATTGCTGCCGCCTATTTCTCACTATAAAATTGTTCCTCAGCCAACCTCACCCCTCCTTCCACAAAGCGAAGGAAAGTTGGCGAGTAACAATTTCGTTAGTAGCGGTACGATGGGCCTTCGGTTCACGGGAGGTTTCAGGCGTTCGAGTTGTATAGGAAATGGCAGAGCACATAATGTGGGAGTTTTTTTGGTTTCAAGGGAAGGGCTATTACATGGGTTCTTCCGATAAATGCTCCCTTTTCCTTCTCTTTCTTTCTTTTAGTCGTATCTGGGTTGAGGCCCCCGGCACTAGTTACTTCGCCGAATACTTGTACACAGGCGGCCCATATAAGGGACCCTTGATTCTTAATATTCTGTGCATTCAGCTTTTTTTGCTTAAAGTGTGTATTCTTTATGATGTAGTTTTCGTGAACTGGTCCAGTACTGAACGTTCGTCTCAACTGGCCAAGGAACATTCCAACCACGTAATAAGCACTGCCAATGCCGACCATCTACCAATTCACACTACACAGAATACCGGGGCACCGGTAGCACTACTGTAACCCAACACACCCGACATCTCCCCATTGACCAATCAACCATTGCCGTACATTAATATAGTCATAACCATACCCATGACGAAAGTGAGCCTGTGACGAACAGGGGAATGATATCTGGTGAGCAAATGGGAAATCGCTAAAGTAGGGTAACAAAAAATTACCTGTTAAGCCCAGTTGCACTACTCGCCACCTCCACCTCCTCACCATAACGCACTCACTCACAGGGTGCCGAGAACGATACTGCTAGGGTAGTGAGATCCAACACTTTTCTCGGAGAAGATATGATGCGAGTATATATCATACTGTACTTAACTTGAACGAAAAAGGCTGACTCATCCGAGAGAAGCGGTGACCCTCGCTCGCCATCCCATCATTCTCGGCACCCTATCGAGTAGATACGGCAGATAGTAAGTCCACCACGCCGCCACCTCCTTCAACAAAATATCTCCACCACACCAGACACCAAGTTCCACCCAAACTAACCATAGCAACCTCCCTTCCTTCCCTCCCCTTTCCACAACTCCAATCCATTCTCATTACCACCCCATCGCCGCCAATCCCAGCGGCAAAGATGCCGTGTCATCCGCCCCAAACCCACCCTCAAATCGAGAAAAACCCAACAATAATCGCTTCCCACGACCCGGGCTAACCGTAACAGTAAATCTATTGCGTAGTTGAAATAGCCTCGGCACTCGAGTACCGGTATTATACCGAGTTCTAATAACGCGGGACGTTGCCGCACCGTATGATACTTGTATACTCGTACCGCTGATTCCGTCTCGTAAATTAGGTACGTGGGTGAGGAATGCGATACCAGGAAACACTATTTACAACCTCTTTAACTGGTGGATTTCTGATAGCCTATTTGTAGAGGTTGGGGTATTGCTTTAATGGGCTTCCTTTGGTAATATAAGGAGGATTGTGTGAGGGAGAATGCCACTGAGGGAGAAGAAAGTTGGGCCCACAGTTATACTCATCCGGGGTTGTGTATTTAGAAAGAAAAATTAGGTTTTCCTTTTTTTTCTCTGTATGCCATGTGTAACCCCCCTACCAACATTCACGAGCCCATTGAGGATCCGAGGTGTTTCTCCATCATGCCGGCCCGGCTAGTGCCCTCAACGTCTGGTGTCATAGGCTTACAGGAAGTCACCCTACTGTATAGTATTGTGTATTATCATCCGCAAACTCGAGGTTCAAACCCTTCCACAAAATGGTATGCGACACGGTATATCACTCGCTACATATGGAGTTGAGCATGGCGAAAGAGAAGAGAAAAGAAGCTCTGTTGCACAGGAGTCGGCTTATATGCTCCCGAGCCAAGAAAGGGAGAAGAAAAAGAAATCCAAAAGAAATCTAAGATCGATTTACGAAAAACACGCGGAAGAAAGAGGAACGAAGAATGGCAAACGCCTAGGAAATGACATACCAAATTTGAATAAGGTAACGGCCGCCGAACCGAGAGAAGGGGGGGGGGAAGAAACGAGAGAAAAACCAAGAGTAGTCCAAAGGCAAAAGAAGCAACGAAGAAAAGACATGCAGTGAAAGGAACCAGCAGCGAAGAGAGGCGAGCCCGTGAACGCCAACACGAGATCATTTCCCACCGGAAGACCTCGGGCCCGGTTGGAAACGAGGAGTAAATCTCCCGATCCTTGCGCAGCTTAGTCCCGACGACATCCAAACCCATGATATCGTATTATATCCAGCGACAAGGCCAGCGTGAATGCCGATCCCGGTCTCGGGACCACGGATCTCAGCCCCGGGTTACGATTTATGACCATACAAGTGCCTCCCGCAAAACCTTCAAAATGTAAGGACGACACGGGTGATGTTCCTCCAGCCCTATAACTCACAGTTGGTTGAGGTTCCTTTTAACCACCTAACTATCGATCCAAGATTGGGAGATGGCCAACTTATAAGTTGAAGGAGAAAAAGCTTCTTGAGAGAAGAGAGGATTTGGGACGGCGGCCGCCTACACATCCACCATGGAAAGGGCAACAGAGCGGCAGCGAGGAGCCAAAGCGAGTTTGGGGTAGGGGAACGGTATTCTTTGAGAATTGTCGTTCGGAATTGAATGAGAGGGAACAAGGAGGCATTGCAAAGCTAGGTTCATCGTTCTGTTCAATTTTTTTTCATGGCCAGCTCGAGCATAGGTCATTACTCCAAATTAATAGTAGGGTATTTCTACAGTGTGGGAGTCTCTAATCACAACGCGTTAAGCTGGATAATCACGCGGTTCTGAGAATCCATCATTCCGAGTCATTATCAGTGATAACATGTTCTTTTGGAGTATGATACCGGAGGGCAAAAAACAATCTAGTCCACACATTAGTACTAGTATCCCCCTCGATCTACGCTCGAGCGCGCTGTGAATGTTGAAAGTCTGAGGGAGAAGATATGGATAGTCAGAAATTGCCAGAACTTGGATATGTTCAACTTTAGAGGGTATAGAAAAGAATTATTAAAATTAGATTTTGTGAAAATGAATCCATTGGGTTTAAATCTCATCATAAATCACATGCATGCTCAGAAATTCCCCCTATGCATCTACCATCATTGTTATCAGATCTTACATTTTTGTAGGATCAGATATCACTCCTTAGCACAACTGCTCAGTACATATATGATTACACACTATCAGCAGTGCGAGCACATTGAAGTATTTCTCTCTGTATAGATCTACGATACTCTAGGAATGTGCACAATTTAGTCCGCGGATCGAAGCAACTGCGATTTAATATCATAGTCGACAACAGAGTCCAGGAAGAAGGGTGGAGGGTTTACTACCCCGCTGAGAAAAGGTGCGCATGAATCATTTCCCGGCACCCTTTCGGGTTCTCAGTCTTGCCAATGCTGCTGCGTATAGTACTAGTCCCTAGCCATGGCACTCCCTAGAGTGATCAGAGAACCAAACACTGTGCCGGAGCAATCGGCCCGGAATACGGGGCCTTCCTAGCTAGCTAGAATACGCCATCGTCATGGCTCTCAAGGGAATACACACACCAAATACCAACAACACAAGTAGGGTGCAAGAGGCGATCGCATTTTCCCTCGGTAAACCGATCGTGTCTCAACCTCGGCTCCAACTCAGATGGAGCATCTAGCCAGAAACTGAAACCATGTTCCAACACACGCATCGCCCTACCGGCATGCCAACTCCCGCTTAACATGATCAGCACAGGTAAGCCCAGTCAGCCATAATGCCCTGAAGTCCATCGGAAAACAAGCCTTTCTCGACCCCCCCTGACGAAAACCCATCCTTTGATCGACCAATCAGGGGACCTCTACATGAATGATCTATCATGATCTAAAACCCAACTCATATCGCTATATGGGAAAGTTAGGCATCCCCGTTTAAAAAAAACCCCAATCAAGGACCGGTAGCCTTGGGGGAGGGAGGGAGGGAGTCATGCAGAAGCTACAACTCTCTCCAAACTCCAGAATTCTCCGCTCGCCGGGACAACTTGCGTCCCGAGGGTGTAAAGCACGGCTCATTCCCACCCCGAGAGGAAAGCTTACGGCGTATCCAAAGTGTTTTTTTTTTGTTTCCCGTCCACCTCATATTTCCCCATATTTGCCCTTCTGAACTAGTTGAGAAGGCATTGGGGGGGTCACGTATGAGCAGATTGGGGGGGTTTTCTGGGAGAGTGGGGAGCAAGTGATTTTTTGGTTGAGTGGGTCGAAGGGGATGGAGAAGAGGAGAATCACCGCGGGTGAGGTGATGTGATACTCCTGGAGAGGCACGAGGGGTCGATTGTGAGGGATTGGTGAATGTCGTTTTGGAGCGAGCCTTGCCCCTCCAACGGACAACTAACACAGCCAGGCTATTAGGAGAATACGGTCATGGTTGCAATAACATGTGGTTATTCCGGCTGAACTAGTTGCTACCGATCTTTTGATATTCGAGTGAGACAAGTAGCTTACTTGCATAACATACGGTACACCTGAACGCCATCCACCGTATCATACTCAATCGCACATTCAGCCCTACCTTGAAAGCGCAAAAGTTGCGTGTTGCGTTTAGATGACCACCCCCAAAATCAATAACCAGGATCTTTCGATAGAAAGCCAAAATTAAGCTAAATGAAGCCCCCCAAGAACCAGGCCGTAATCCTAAATTACAACAACCGATACCCACAACAAAACAAAAAACGTATCATAACCAAATATCACTCAAAGCTCCCCAGCCCTCAAATTGCCCCACCATTCTCCAATTTGCCCCATGAACTTCTTTGGCCCCCGGGGGGGAGCTCTAGTCTCCCTACCCCCCCGTCCAGGTCTTTCCCACCCGCGATCTAGGTCACTCTGATCCCAAAAACCACCCGACTGGGCCCCAGCCGAGAGCCCGGTCTCTCCCACGACAATCATGTTTAGATATCCCGCAAGTCTCCACCCCGCTTGTGCGACTAGCTCGTCCACAATCGCCACCGCACCATCATAATACTCCCCGCCAAGCTCACTCCCCTCAAACCCTTCAGGGTAATTTGGGGGCAAGATGTAATCACACACCCATTTGTTGCTCTCGTTGGCCCACATAAGGGCACACTTTTGGGGTGTTGCCGGATCGATACACCCGCTCCAGCTCTGTTTGATAGAAGGGTCCTTGAACTTGCCGGTCTCGATCTCCGTGTGTAGGTAATTCGACCATGTCGCAGCGTGCCAGATCGCGTTTCCCCCCACGTACTTCTCAGGGATGGCGGAGTCCCACACGCTGTGAAGATTGCGTTCCCTGCCATCGAAAGTCACACGGATTCCGTTGCCGCCGCGAAGGAGGTCTTCGGTGTGGAGGGGCTGGTGGATGTCACCGATAAAGTGGACAATAAATTTCAGCGCCATGGAACGCTCGTCGTGGGGTAGCTCTCTATCTATGACTCTACCGGTCTATCATTCCATCTCTCCATCAACTCACTATTCACCCTCGAGGAGCAACGGGTGGGATAAGGGGAGTATTACCATATTAACGAGAGCGGAGACAATACAACCTTGGTCCCTCTTGCAATCTCTTGAGTAATTGACTCCGCAGGTGTGCGGTGGGTTATCCTTCGCGTCGATCCAGTGCCATGGTGCAGAGTACCGGCCGTCCCTAGTATGGGAGTATCCATCCGCCCAGGTCGATGCAGCAACAATACTCTCCTTACCGAGGAGTTCACGAACCCATCCAGCAGTTTCGGGGAGTAGATAGCGGGTCGATAGTAGAGCGACTGTTCTATGACCGAGCATACCCCACGCGGAGGTAAGTGGCGCAAGTGGAAGAACCGGGAGGAGGAAATTTGCAGGACGCATATTGATGTTGAGGCTAGTGAGGGGGAAGGTGAGGGGGGGGTGAGCCGTAGATATATACTCGCAGTTGAACGTTGAGTAGATGCTTCCGCTGTTGATGTAGGTGTGCCAATATTAATAGTAAAGATAGAATTAAGCTCGGCTGGAAAAGCTAACTGATAGACCGTATTAAAGTAGGCTGCGGTAGCAAAATCCACGATGGCAGAAGGCTGAGGGCCGAAAGCTACTCTACTTGCACATCATTCGGTGGGAACCTCCCACCATCTACCGGCATAAATATAACATCCAATCCCTGTCAGGCAAACCACCAAACTCTAACCAAAAAAAATAAAAATAAAAATAAAAATGCATAAAATAAAAATAAAAAATAAGTAAAAAGCAAGTAAATACAAAGAAGTTCTCAAGATGCATTTAAATTTCCAAGAGTCTTTTGAAAGAAGAAAAAGAAAAAAAGAATTTGTGTCATAGAATATAATAATAACATTATTATGACTGTGAAACTAGGCTGCAGGTATTTCTTAGAATTGGAGGAAAAATTATCATAGAAATAAAAAGTATGAAAATTGAGGCCTAGACTCTTTGCCATATCTATCGTTCATTAACAAAAATAACCAACCACCCAAGATGCACGGCAACCATCGTCCATTACCCTTCCTCCATTTTCAAACTCATCAAAAGAAATTGCAACAACGCAACCAAAACCCAATCACATTATCTAATTCTTTTTCCTTTAAATACTATGCCTTCTATTCTTCGCAGTCATCCAAAAAAAAAAAAAAAAAGACCTCTAGTACAGACTCCTCACACAACCACTTAAGTCTTTCCTATACTATAAGATTAAATCTATACTCTTATCTGCACACAACATCTCCTGCAATACTATGTGAGAAAGAAGTCTCACTTAGACAGAATAAGAAGATTATAAATAGTTGTTATCAAAAGTAGTGATGAAGACAAAGAGTCTCTGAGCTATTGAGGTATCAAAGAGGTAAGGTCATTATCTGTTGAAGAACTAACATATACAAGGTAGGATTGTTACATGCTTTATCACAGAATTTTGATAAGAGGACTAGCCTTACTACTGATGTTGGCCGCTATTGTCTTTCACATATCATGAATTTAGATGAAACACCTATATCATTCAAGTACCTTAATGGCATAACCTATGATATTTGTCACAAATGTGGCTTAGCATGGAAAAGGTTTTCACATAACTCATGATTATGAGTCGTAGGTATGTTATTGTTTCGCACATATGACCACTCCAGTCATATAACTTGTTTAAGTTATAATTTGTTATGTTTCGTATATGACTCGATTATGAGTCATGGGACATGCGCCTGGCAAGTGTGCCTTGCGAGTATGCCTTACAGGTTGTTAGGTGGAGACAACTTGATAGACTTCAAGATTGTCTAGGCCAATCGAGATTCGTTTTTGTAGACCGAGATTGTCTAGGAAGGCTCAGACTTGGCTCATTTCGTTTATGACTACTAGGAGTGAAGTAAAGTAGGTAAAGTAGAGTAGAATCATAAAAACAATATTATATTGTTAAGGTCTCTTCTCCATTGCTTGATGATGTCTAAAGCTTAGGAGGCACTTCGATATTTATATTCCATGTCTGAGTGTTCGCGGACTACATCTATCTATCATATAACTATGTACTTCTTCAGTTGTAATTCGCAACGCTGAGTTTTCTTCCAAGGTGCGAACACCTGTAGACCCTGAAAACCATCACATCCTCTTCGGTAATTATGATATTTTTTCTTAGGAGACGTACTGTCTCCAATAGTAATATACCAATTAGCAGAGTCTTTTAGACTTATGGCCTAGTTCTTAAGTCAAACTGAGTTGACTCCAATTGTCTTCGCCATTGATAAAATGATTGGTTTTATCCACAGTTATATCTGCAAAGATGGTCATTATTACAACCATCGTAGGTCGCCTGACTCCGATCCTTTGTAACTCCATACCCAACTGATAGATTTTCTCTGGATGACTTCCTATTAACTCACAGGAAGCTATTCCACCAGAATAGTAATTAATCCCTCAGTCGGCAACTCTTGGTTGCTCTCTGGGTAGTAGGTTTCAGTAACTATTGTAGTATTGGGAATCACCCCATGACTACAACATGTTCCGAAACCCAGTTGCAACACTCCATGAAGTTCGTTGGCTTCTTTGGTAGTGTCTTTTTGGAGTTCTAGACTCTTCTGGTAGATGTAAATGTATTGGTCTCTAGTAGAGATCCTTTACCATTTGATACTATCTCTTTGTGCGAAATCGTCCCGTTACTTACGGCCCATGCCAAAGGTATCATGTCTTTGGAGCCAGGTAACTCTCTGAGTAGTTGACGGAATCACTCCATTCCACTTCTCAGACCTAGCCGAAGGTCCCTCCTCATATACCCTGCGAACAGGATCCGGTCGAATGGACGGCGGTAACGTATACAGTGTTATTCTAACACCTTCAACTCTGTGGTAATATAGTCACAGGACGCAACTGAGATTGATATATATGATGACGCACGGGCCCCGTAAGGGAGCCGGAGGGGGGTGTTGGAGACCAGAGATTCCGATTCCAGGTGGGGTTACCCTACTTAGGGTAGTTCTTAGGTATCAGATTCTGGTATTCCTAACACAGGTATGCCTAGTACATACAATTTATTTTTCACATCTAACTTTGTTATAAGGTCATGGGCTTCGCACATGTGACCACTTTGGTCATATAATTAGTTTGTTATGATTTGGTTTTGCGCATGTGACCACTTTGGGTCTCATGACTTGGGGCGGGAAGAACACTATATAAGGAGGCTAGTACAAGGAGAATAGGTTCTTTAAGCTTTGTTTTAAGTACTTTCCCTACTTCTTTCACCCCATGTCAGAAGTGAGCATACAGATACTTTACCTTATTTCGCTTACAATAAATACTTTATCACTGCTTTTGTTTGTGTTTTTTCATTTAGGTAGTCAGTTAGAAGTTAGTTGTTCTTGCTTAGAAGGCACTTCAGTGTGAGATATCTATGGTCTAGTCCTGGTAATTACTGAGTGTAGTCTGGGGCAAGGATAGTGTCTTCAACAGCTTCCTCTTCCACAGATTCTACCCCATCTTCGAGGATATCGTCCCCAGTTCAGTTCGACTCCAACCTCTCCTCCTCACTAGAGACAGCCCATATAGCCTTCTCTCTTGTGCCTACTATCAAGGTTGACCGTAGCTTCATCCCTACAACTACACAGTTATATGTTACACCTAAAGGAAACTTTAGTTTCATACAGGTTTACCACTATCACGGGTGTCAGAATGCAGTAAACCTGCAGCTTGATGATTTGGTTTGCCAAACGGTCACTGTTGCGACTGTTGCTACAATGAAAGAAGTAGAGGTTTTGGTAAGAGGTTTCCTAATAGGGAGTGGCTATTCAGCCATATATGGCTTGAACAAGGACACTATCATGGGACTCTTCGTTCGGTTCAACTTCGACCATGGCTCAGAATATTCTCCAGCTCCTGCACCTTCCCCCCCTAAAGATTCTCAGACTATTGTCCCTGAATCCTCCATTCCTCTAACCAAAGACAGTGCCGCTGCAGCTACGGTTGAGGCCAGCTCTTAGTCCGTCACCTCTCACCTCACTAGAGCCATCCCAAGCAAGATCTCCAGTTTCCTTTGACAGGCTCCTATTCATGGAACTGGCTTGGCTACCCCCTCATTCCTGGCTGGGATGTTGTCTGGTAAAAGTGCTCTTTATGAAACCCCTAAGTTCAAGCTAGACGACCTTGAAGATGAGGACTAGAACCCCACTGCTGCTGGGACATGCTGCCATACATGGTCAACATCTCCCGCTAAATAATCTGCTGCTCCCATCCTCGACTCTCAGTTATTAAGGGATATTAATGTCAATAAAGAACAAAAAAAACAGATTGTTCTTGCCCTCTCTGGCCTGCCCCTTGATGTTTATCATGAGTGACTAGCCATTCCCCCCCCTGTAGTACTCCTGTCAACAATCGAAGCAACGGCTCCCTCTCTGTCTCCATTTATGACTGAGGATGTCCTACCCCTCTCTGAGGTGTTGGCCAGAGATACTCTCATGGGCCTGGATGAGGGACGCAACTCTGAGGTGACTGACCTGGGTGACAGCATCCATGTACCCTCTTCGGCAATGGCATTGTCACCACCGGCCTTTGACGGAAGCAGGATCTTGTTACTTGAAGAATGTCTGGGGAACTCTCAGGAAACCGCCCACGACACCCAAACTCCGTTGAAGGTTCAACTCTCAATTACCCAGCCCGAGGCCACCAATGCTGCTGCGGCTCAGGCAGACTTGATTATAGCTGGAGTCTGTGAAAAGTTGAATGTAGGTAAGACTCCCTCCTCTAGATCTCACTAGGGTAGCATAATTGGATTCATGCTGGAAGACCTGGAGGACATTCACTCTGGTAATACTCAGCTCCTCCTCTCCTCAGAGTCTGGGTCGATAGTTGATAACATGGTACATGATATCAGGACCTGGATGGACAATGGCCCTACGTTTGGTAATGAAGAGCCAGAGGACAGGATATATTACTGGAGCCGGGTATACCTGCTAGAATGGGCTGTAAAGGCACTGACTGAGATTGTTGGCAGATAAGGGAAAGAGATAGAGACCCTGCAGGGTAAGTTGTCCTCCTACCGTCACCCCCCTGTCGTTTTACTCTACAATACCCTCTTTGTTTCTTCAGGGACACCACTGCCCACTACCCATTCTAAGGAAAAGAAGACCGCTACAGCGGCTCCTACTACTAACGCCTCCTTTATGGAAGTAGTGAAACGAATGGCATATGTGTTCAAACCTCCCGCCTCTCAAGAAAAGCAGGCACTCTCCACCCACCATATATCGGCAGCCTCCTCCCACCAATCCAGCAGTGGCAGCTTCTGCAGCGATGAGAGGATAATCCTGCATGTTGCTCGCAGTGGTGAAGGTAAGTCAGTCCACTGAGAAAAAGAAAATGAAGGAGGAGAAGAGAAGAAGTAGAGAAGAAGACGTGGCAGGTGCATAAGTGATGCTGCCAGGAGGAGAAGGAAGGCTGCCAGAGAATCTGGTAGTGAAAAGGAATTGGTGACCCTGGCCAAGACTCAAGGGAAGAACACTGACAGGCAGGAACCGGTTCCCATAACTACCACACCTGTTACTCTACCAGTTCAGTCTGGACTAGTGGCCTTG